AAATCCCTAAGACTCGTGGGGCAAAGTCAAGCATGATGACTTATCCGAAGGCAACTAGGATGTTTACAAAGCAACTAACTCAGAATTTCAAGGAAAATACAGTTTGTTTACAAAAGAAATCCTACATCAAGAAGGGGAAGTGCGGGAAGTGGAAATTGCCCTGTGGTGGCCTTCTAGTGCACGTCTATTGCTTGGAGGCGCAACACATTTAAAAATGTGAGTGGACCAAAAATAAAGTTTTGAAAATAACATACGAACATACTAACCCCTCCGTAAAAACCGTTATAAGAAAACTCAGTTAAGTTGCATACAATTCTTGTACAGAAATCACACATGCATATCTATATTTATACAATTCTCGTACGGACATACTAGCACATAAATAAATATTTAAAATTGGCAATTCATGCTAGGAAAAACATGAGTCATTAACTACTTATTCAAGACCAAATAATGAAATTTAATTGCATAAAATCATTTAGAAAACTAAAAGTCCACTCATTGCGAGTCTGAAGCTACCAGGACCTTTCGAAGGTCCCTCTTGCGGGTCTGCCTGAGACCAAGTGCCTGATTAATCGATCATGAATATTTTATTAATAAATTTGATCAATATAAATATTTAATTAAAAACCCTGACTCCCGGCTCCTAGAAGTGCGTGCATCAAGTTAAAATCATTCATATGCCCACATAAGCTTTTCCCATGTTTAGGATGGTCTAAAAGAGACTCGGGACTGAAAAAGCGATAAAATCTCGAAAAGTCAACCTAGGACATGTGGGGTCCACGACCTCCAATTATGAATCTGAGAGTTCCTAGAGGTTCCATTATATGTATGAAATATGTCCTGAGAGTTTGGCCTTGATCGAATGGTCAGATTAATCACGATTGCACGGTTTGACATTTATTAATTAATTAAACTTTGAAATATTGAATCGGAATATCTGAGACTCCGATTCACGATCTGTGAAATTCTCTACGATCCTAAGAGTTCCTAGATCAACATATATTAAATTGTCTGCGATCCAATGGTTCAAACATATCGAACCCAGAAATCGCACAATAGGCGACATTTGTTCGGAGTTCAAACGTTATCGGAATTGGAATCCAAAAGCACCTACGCGCTCATGAGGACAAGGAGATCATTTTAGGACACAATGCCGGTCCATTACCTGGCCCTCGCGCCGGCAGCGCGTGGGTGCCTTGAGTAAATTCTGACGGCCGGAAAAACTCCAAACTGCCAGCCAAGATTCCTACCCTAGGTGTAAAACCCCATTTAGAACAACTTTTGTTCTTGGACCTACCCTAAAAAACGACTGGAAGTGGCCGGAATCTCAGTTTGAAAACCAGCCAAAATTTAGCTCGAAAATCAAGTTGTCTACGCTACAAATTGATCAATTCCTACCCAACCATCAGCTAGAACATGAAAAATAGGTATAAATCCATACCTTATTCGTCAAATTTGGTGGTCGGAGGAGGGAGAACGACGACCGGGAATTTTATGTCAAAACCGGCGATTCCGAGCTCGTTTTCCGGCAGGTCTGGTGGCGGGTGATGACGAGTTCAGGCGAGGAGGGGGCGGCAGGTCAAGCTAGTCTGGTCTAGGGCTAGCCGACGCCGATGGAGGTGGTGGTGGAGGTTTGGAGGTGGCGGCTGGAGAAGAAAATAACAGGGGGGCCTGGTCGTGCGCAATCTAGGGAAGGAGAGAGAGTTAAAATCTGAATTTTTTTTATTTTTATTTTTTATTGAAGCTCTCCTCACACTCATCTGACCATCTGACCATTCGAATTTGACAAAGTTCCCACTTTCATCCGAAAGTGTCAATACTGGAGCGGTGGTCAACCTGGTCCTGAGTTCATTGAAGCTCTCCTCACACTCATCTGACCATTCGAATTTAACTCCCTTTCTAGTAAAATGAGTGAGACGTGCCGTTATGGCGGAGAAGCCTTCCACGAAGCGACAATAGTTCCCAGCTAACCCAAGGAAACTCCGTACCTCAGTGACATTAGTTGGTTGTGGCCAATTCACTACTGCCTCCACTTTATGGGGATCCACATAAATACCTTCTGCAGAAATCACGTGTCCCACGAAACTCATTTTGTCCAACCAAAACTGACCATAATCTTTAATTAACTCTAACCACCTCCTTTGTGTTAAATTCAATTCCCTTTGGGTGAACAGATATTTCAAACTCTTGTGGTCCGTGAAAATTTGACACGTTTCCCCGTAGAGATAGTGCCGCCAAATCTTCATAGTGAACACTACATCAGCGAGTTCCAAGTCATGAGTAGGATAATTCAACTCATGCTTCTTGAGTTGCCTAGAAGCATAAGCGATTACCCTACCATGTTGCATCAACACACAACCTAGTCTTTGTCGGGATGCATCATTGTAAATAACAAAGTTCCCACTTTCATCCGAAAGTGTCAATACTGGAGCGGTGGTCAACCTAGTCTTGAGTTCATTGAAGCTCTCCTCACACTCATCTGACCATTCGAATTTAACTCCCTTTCTAGTAAAATGAGTGAGACGTGCCGTTATGGCGGAGAAGCCTTCCACGAAGCGACAATAGTTCCCAGCTAACCCAAGGAAACTCCGTACCTCAGTGACATTAGTTGGTTGTGGCCAATTCACTACTGCCTCCACTTTATGGGGATCCACATAAATACCTTCTGCAGAAATCACGTGTCCCACGAAACTCATTCTGTCCAACCAAAACTGACACTTACTGAACTTGGCATACAATTGTTTCCTCCGTAAATTCTTCCGCACAATCTCCATGTACTTCATATACGCCTTTTGACTTTTAGAATATACCAGGATGTCTTCTATGAACACAATCACAAAGCGATCCAAGTAACGTCGGAACACTCTATTCATGAGACCCATAAATGTAGCTGGCGCATTAGTCAAACCAAATGGCATCACCAGGAACTCATAGTGCCCATACCTCGTCCGAAAAGCTGTCTTAGGCACATCCTCTTCTCTAATCTGTAGCTGATGATAACTTGACCTCAAATCAATATCCGTAGCTGATGATAACCTGACCTCAAATCAATCTTAGAAAACACTTTGGCATCCCTCAACTGGTCAAACAAGTCGTCAGTACGCCGCAACGGATACTTGTTTAGCACGGTGACCTTGTTCAGCTGTCTATAATCAATACACAATCTCATGGTACCATCTTTCTTCTTCACAAACAAAACTGGAGTGCCCCAAGGTGAAAAACTAGGTCGGATAAAACCCTTATCCACCACCTCCTGCAACCGAGTCTTCAATTTCTCGGTGAGGAGGTAATCCAGGAAGATCCTCCGGAAACACATCTAGAAATTCATGTACAGCTGGAATATCTTCCAACCTCAATCCATTATCCCGGGTATCATTCACATGTACCAAATATCCTGTACATCCCTTTCTGAGCAACAGTCTTGCCGTCATAGCTGAAATGAGGCAAGATGGAAGTACTCTACGCTCGCCCTGAAATGTCACCTCAGGTGGTCCGGGACTACGTAATACAACCTCTTTCCGGAAACAATGAATCGAAGCATGATGCTTGGCTAACCAATCGATACCCAGGATAACATCCAAATCTACCATATCTAAAGGGATTAGATCGGCCTAAAAAAAAACCTCCCCTACCAAAATTGTACTGGCCCTGTATACCACACCAACTGTAAAGACATCTCCCGTGGGTATGATTATGTGGCTCCAATTCGTTAAGGCTGATCAGCATAGTTTAGGGATGGGTCTCTGGAATGCCCAGTCCTAGATAGAGCCTGAGTCAACAGCTCCAGTGTATGCTGGAAGTTAGGATCACCCGGCACAGTGGGCATCACCGGTACGGCCCCTGCTAGACCTTTAACAAAAGACTGCTCAGCAGGTTCCGATGCCTGCTCAGGAATCGGAAATTCCACTGGTTTGGGCTGGGGACCCTGTCCTCGGAGTCGGGACGACTGTCTAGTCCCTCTACGAGCACCACCACGTTTATGGCCCATGATTTTGCCACAAGAAACATGAATTTAGTAAAACAGGAATGCAAACAAGGTGCGAAGTCTACAGGAATTTAAACATAATGCACTAAAACCAAGTTGACAGGACCCGACCCAAATTCCACTTTGGAATCCGAGCTGAACCTTATGCGTGTCTGACACTTGGTGAAGGTCGAGCACAAATGACCTATTTGCCCTTCTATTCAAAATTCAATTTATTTCAAGTTTGACTTCTGCCGAAAATTCGGCAGAGTCTCCCCTGTAAGTTGAACATTTCCCAAAATTCAACTTGTCAAATAAGCAAATATTTATAATCCAACTGCCAGCATGCATATATATTTACATTCCAACAGTTAAATTTAATCCTAGGGCAATTAGAGCAACTAAAAGTCCACTCACTACGGGTTCGAGCTAGCTGGACCTTTCGAAGGTCCCTCCTGCACGTCAGCTGAGCCCGAGTGCCTGATTAATCCATCATGAATATTTTATTAATAAATTTGCTCAATATAAATATTTAATTAAAAACCCTGACCCTCGGCTCCTAGAAGTGCATGCATCAAGTTAAAATCATTTATATGCCCACATAAGCTTTTCCCATGTTTAGGATGGTCTAAAAGAGACTCGGGACTGAAAAAGCGATAAAATCTCAAAAAGTCAACTCGGGACATGTGGGATCCACGACCTCCAATTATGAATCTGAGAGTTCCTAAAGGTTCCATTATATTTAGTAAATATGTCCCGGGAGTTCGGCCTCGATCGAATGGTCGGATTCATCACCATCGCCTGATCGGACGGTTATTAATTAATTAAACTTTGAAATATTGAATTGGAATATCCGGGACTTCGATTCACAATCCGTGAAATTCTACACGATCCTAAGAGTGCCTAGATCAACATATATTAAGATCACCTGGCCCATGCACCGGATTAATCACGATCACCTGGCCCACACACCGCCGCACGTGCCGGCCGCGCGTAGGTGCCTTGAGTAAATTTTGGCGGCCTGAAAATCTCCAAACCGCAGGCCAAGATTCCTACCCTATGTGTAAAACCCCATTTGGAACCACTTTAGTTCTTGGACCTACC